ACTCATAGTGACCCTGTACAGGATTTCCTAGGCTATAAATCTTTACGGGAGCAGAACACCTCATCTTTCTCCCGCGGAACCGCTGGTAGCTTCAAACTGCTGACCTAGAGGTTGGCAGCCCGACTCATAACCATCTGGGTTGAATCCTAGTGTATAGCACTGTAGGACAAGCATTGGAGACCCACCAAGCATTGGAGACCCACAAGACCCACCAACTGCTCTTAGGAATCCCTAAGCAGGGTCACTACGAGTTGGAACCAACTTGAAGGTACTTAACAATAACATATCCAGGTTGAGTCTAGGTAATATTTTCATGTATGTTAGTGTCAGGTTGTTGTCTGCTGCTGTTGTTCTCTGTCCAAAGAACTCCCTTTAGTCTTTTTTATAAGGTTGGTCTGGTTTTTACAAGTTCTTTAAATTACTGTTTTTCTGGCAATGACCTACTTTTCCCACCATGTTTGATGGACAGTTTTACTGAATGTAAGATTTTGGATTGGTCATTTTTTTCTTTCAGAGTTTTATATACGTCATTGCATTGTCTTCTTGCCTATATAGTTTCTTCTGAGAAGTCAGAGCTTAGTCTTACTAGTTCTCCTTTGTAGGTAACTTCATTTTCCCTGAGCTATATTCTCAGGATTCTTTCCTTGTCTTTGGTTTTTAAAAGTTTGATTATAATATGCCTTGGTGATTTTCTTTTGGGTCTACCCTGTTTGGAGTTCTGGTGTGGCAGTGTAGGATAAAGCAATGGACTGCTAACTGCAAGGCTGGTGGTTCAAACCCACCAGTCACTCCTTGGAAACTCTATACAAGGTTGTTAGGATTCAGAATGGACTCAATAGGATTGATTACTACTTAACAACAACAATCCTGTTTGGAACTCATTCAACATCCTGAGTGGTCACCTTCTTGTCTTTCATGATGTTAGGGAAATCTTCAAACATGCTTGAATATATTATATTCGCTATGTTTTTTTTTTTGTTGTTGTTGTTGTTTTGTTTTTTTGTCTCTTCCTGTTCTGGAATTTCAACCACATATAAGTTCTTTCTCTTCATATGTCCCACATAAGCCTTAGGCTTTTCTCAGATTTTTTTGGTTCTATTTTCTGATTGTTCCTCTAGCAGATGAATACTGAGAGAGGTTTTCTTCAAGCTCAGTCATTTGACTTTCCATCAGCTCAATTCTATTTCTTTGCCCTTTCAGTGTATTATGTATTTCTGAAGTCTTAGTGTTAGTCTTCTCATTTCCAAATTGCTGTTTTTGTATGATCCTCATTTTTCCAATTATTTTGTCAGTTTGTTTCCTTAAGTTTTCTACAGCTTTGTCTATGTTCACCTGTCATTTTTTCTTTCTCAAAAACCATAGAAATAACCTAATTAACATTCTTTTAAATTTCTTTTCAGGTAGTTCCTATACCATCTCTGGTGTTGTATTTTCCCCATTCTGTATTTTGGTTACTTATCTGAGGCGCTCCGTCTTATTTTATCATGTAAACTGAAATCATCTGTTTTCTCTGAGACAATGTAGTGTCATATTTATATTTAGCTGATGATTGTATATTGGTATATTCTCAGACTCCTGTCTCCGGGTAGATGTAGTAGTGATCAGAAGTGTGAATACAGTTAGTTCTCTGTTCACTGTATATGTAGCATACTACAGGGCGGGTTCACATGCCTTCAGAACTCTAGAAGCAGGGGTGCTATGCCAGCACCCAACCCCAGGCAGAGCAGAAGCTGCACAGGCGGGGGTACCACTAGCCATTAGGTTGGAGAGTTGGGGATTGGCCATGCCCCAGTCTACAAGGAGGGCTTGGGAACAAGGGATAACTGTACTCCCTTGTCATCTATCTCTAACCATGTCCTTTGTCTGCAGGCTGTTGTACTGATAGCCACTAACAAAAGCTCAAACCGGCTATACGGCGCCACACCAGCCCACAGTTCACCTGTTTTCTTTCTCACAAAAAACTATCTGACAGTTTCTGTTCAGCCTCCTCTTTCAGATGGCACTCAATCCACCTTTCTGTCCTATCCCACGATGCTCAGGGTTCCAGGACCACCATCTGTTTGTCTCCTATGTCTTTGTTTTAGAGGGTTGACTCAGTGCATCTGCTTATCTCACCATTATCTCACCTGGACGCCCAAAGATAAATATTTTTAAATCCCTAGTCAATAATTTTGTTTTAGTAAACAGTCTTCTAAGAAGGAAAATTTAATTTGTGATTATCTCCTGAGGTTAGGAATATTTAGAAAACTCTTGTTGTAAAATGTTTAGCTTGCATGAAAAGAAAAGAACCATTGTTATCTAAGTACAAATGTAGGAACATCACTAGTAAAGGACTACCCTAAACCAATAAGGAAAAGAAGCTAATAAGAAAAACAATCATCCCCTGGCATTTTATTTGTTGTTGCTGTTAAGTGCTGTCGTGTTGGTTCTGACTCATAGCAACCCTGTATAGTGTTTACCAGGAGCAGCTAGTGCATTTGAACTGCCAATCTAAGGGTCACAGTTCAGTGCTGATAGTATAGTACCACACCTGGCATTTAGAGTGCTATTAAAAAATTTCTTTTCTTGCATTTCCTATATTATTTGACTATCAAAACCACCCCTGGAGAGTTTACTATTAACTTTACACCTTCAAGGAACCACGGATTAAAAACCAACAACAACAGTAACACAAACCTACTGTTATCCAGTCAACGCCTCCCCACAGTGATCCTATAGGACAAAGCAGAACTGATCCATGACATTTCCAAGGCTGTAAATCAGGTAAGCAGACAGCTTCATCTTTCTCCTGCACAGTGGTTGTT